TTACTTCTACTTCTACTGTTACTTCTACTTCTACTTCTACTTCTACCATTACTTCTACTTCTAATTCTACTTCTAATTCTACTTCTAAATCTACCTTTACTTCTACTTCTACTTTAATTGCTCCTGGCATCAACAAAAAGTATTTCTGATTCTGATTTACTATATTCTTCAGTATTTTTACTTGAGTATTTTTACTTGTACTCCATTACATTCGGTAGTCAGGTACTCATCAGTCACTGCTTTAATGACTTTGCAGATTCAGATAATTAATCGAGTGATCATGAAAAACATTTTCTTCTGCTGCTGCTTCACATGAGAAACACAAACTACAGGAAACGTCCAGATGTAATTGTGCGGACATTCTCTGGAGCTGTGCTCTGCTGCCCCCAGTGGCCATCTGTGCAGTTACGTGTGAGGCTTCACCAGTTACCATCAGAGAGGAAGAAGGAGTCGACTCCGCACAATACTTGGCCTGAAGTCTGAGGGAAGTGAGAATGACTCCATCCAACAGAGACTTCCTGTGTGAAGTCATTAGCAGCTCTGACTCCAGAGATCTGCTGTGAGTAGAAAGGACACTTCCTGGAGCTGAAGGTCAAAATGAACAACCTGGGATGAAGGAAAGCGAACTTCCTGCTTCAGGTGGTTCACAGCTGAGACTCCAGAGATCCAGTGAACACAGAGAAACACTTCCTGGCGTCAGAGGTGACTCTGAATGAGTCCATAGATCAAGAGGAGAGGGCGCTTCCTGAATTCAGCTGCAGATTTAATGTAGAAACACAATCAACTCTGTCCAAAGTGAAAAGACCAAAGAATTTTTGACCAAACACAGAAAGAAAAAGAAACTGAATTGGTGCTCGGAGAGAGCACACCTCCGCCATGTTGGGACGACCCTGTGCTCACAGAGCGCCGGTTTACCTGAGAGGACATTGAACCGTTCAGAGCCAACGATCCGGTGTGGAAGAAGTTTAACAAGAATATCACCTCAGACTAAAACTCTGATTCTCTCCTGACTGAGCTGTTCAGGCTCCTAGAAATGAAATGAATGACCCTGCGACACATGACTGTTCTACGAGAAACCCCGAGGCTCCGCCCATGCTTCACACATCCAGTGTTAAAGCTGCATGAAGAACATTGAGCTCAAACATGGGGGGTCTGAATTTTAATGTGATTAGATTTTCTGTTTAATTACAGTACGAGCGACAACCACCAGGAATGTTGGATGACATCATGATCAATGAGGAGAATCTTTAAAATGCTGTTGATGTTAATTCTCTTAGTAACAGCGCCCTCTGCAGCAACACGTTGTAATTAATCCAATCAAGCTCAGAGGTTTAACAAAGCGCTGAAATCAGGTTAAATCTTTTGCTTGACTGGAGCTCAGACTGTGTAATCCCTGAGCTGGGACACAGCTGAACGCTGGATATTACCCATGATCCTCTGCTTCCTGAACCAGAAGAGCTGCGGCTGTAACAAATCCACCGAACTCTGTTTAGGATTCTTCATATTTAAAGTTTCCTGCTGAATCTTGGAGATAAAACTGATGTGAACTGATTTGAACTGATCGTTGATCGTGAACAGTTTTTCTTCTTCAGGATCAAAGTCATCAAAGTTATGAACTGAAAGAGTAATTTATGACGAGTTTTGCATCAACAGTGTTTAGTTTCATGATGTTGCTTTAATTATGAATTATTATTATTAATAATGAGAAGCTAATGAGTGTCACCACACCACGATTTACACCATCTGATCAGCTGCTGTGTGTGTGTGTGTGTGTGTGTGAGGGTGTGAGGGTGTGTGTGTGTGTGTATGAGGGTGTGTGTGTGTGTGTGTGTTCCCTGCCGAGTGCCAACATTCCAGCTTGGAGACAGGAAGTCAGGGACAAGGTGGCGGTGATGATGTCATCATCCTCAGGCAGAGAACATGGAGGTCAGTTTTGTGAGTTGATTTGCTGTTGTGTTTGTTGTGTTTTCTGATTTGCTGTTGTGTTTGTTGTGTTT